TTGCTGTGGAAATGCTCTTCTCTTAGCCTGTGCCTCTGAGGGACTCACATGTATCAAGGCAGCAATCAGTCAAGCAAATTAAATCTTAGGTCAGGGATGAAGGGCACAGTGAGAACGTGGAGATCAAGGTTTATGCCTCTGTGCATTACCGAGTTACTGTTTATAAGTTGGAAAGCTATAGATGTTATTGCTATTTATTCCATGATAGGTCTGGTGCACACGTTTGAAATCAGGAGGGAATCATGATTCACGCTCTTAAAAAAGATATTAGAGAAACTTCCCTTTCTGCCAAATCTATCATTCTCATTTGTGACGAAGAAAACTCTTTGTAAAAGGAACATGTAACCCAAAGTTTAAAGTAAGAGAGAGAAGATCATATGATATTTCAAATGTTTCTGATCTCAGGCTCTGTTTCGCCTAGCTGGTCTTGCCCATGACCTTGCTTTTTTCAGAGGATTGACAGTACCAACAGTCAAAATGTAGACTGTTCTCTCACTTAAGATGACTATAACAAAAAGTAAAGGACTAAATCTAAATGATAAGCAGTGGGGATAACTTCCATCAGTTATTAATATTTCAAATACAGGAAATACTTTGACCAAAGATTGCACTAATTTACATAAATAAATCTGATATGCTTTAAGAAATTTATTTGAATGCTATGTGTTTTATATTCTGGAAAGTACTGAAAGACACAGTAGAAATTATGATGAAACCTCAACCTGGGAACTCAGAAAATACAACCACATGTAAGTTTATCCTTGAGGTGATTTCCTTTTCTCAAATCAAAATAGGTGGCATGTCCTCCAATGCAATTACTGACTCATGGCCTCAGGACAATTTCCTCTTAAGTATTAGCCATCTACCCTGTCATGCTTCCCAGTTCCTGCCCAGCACACTTCACATTCCATACACCATCATATTTCTCCTAAACGCCACTACAGTGTTTGATAAAGGTCAGCGGCCCTGTGAGTTTCCAGAATTATCTCTCTCTGCTAAAACCCCTTTCACATTCATATTAATTATCTGGAAATTTCTGATGACCTCTATAACAATAAATCCAGGCAATCACAAATATTCCCTGTGCTCTGGGGATGGTACCAACAAGAAACTTGTCCTAAAGAACTGATTAGGAGAAATGGTCTCTGGGAAAACAAGATAACCTCATTTTCAAAAGAAGCCCCTTTCCTCTAATTCCTACTCATGGATGCTCTTAAATGACAAAGAATAAACTCATCTTCCTTCCATCTTTCTCACCTTGAAAGCTTTAAAGACAGCTATGGTGAAGAATATCAATCAACTCAATATATAAATATACATGTATATATGAAATTGTTTTTATGTTTGGAAAATTTCTTCATTCAGAGCATCTTCCATTCTTTCACCCATTCCCCATAAAATAAGCATGCTCAAACACTTCTCTGGGCAAATTTTCCTCTTCTCAGAGATCAATAAGACAATATTTGCGCTTTTGAGGTGTGACACTAACAACAAATATAATGGTCTGAATATGACCATTCATATGAACGACTCTCTTCCATGAATTAACTATTGCAGAGAAACAGCCATTCTTGCAGCAAAATTTCCAGCTCCATGATGATTTCATAGAATATTGCTTTCCTTTTGTTAAAGTGCTGGCCTAGAAAACCTTCACCTACCATCTTGGTGGACTTCCAGCTGCACGAGTCTCCCAATTCCAATGGTCATTTTGCAGACAATGTGTGAATTATACTCATTATACTCAAACTGCCTTCAAGGGATTTCCACCTGGGATGATAAATACATTTGCTATTTTGGGGAAAGTCCTTAGAAATACATGTTGGTGTTCACATGACACCATCCCCTCTGGCTTTCTCCCACAGAAACAGTGAGTGATGTACGAGTTTGCTGGTAGAATCACAGTAGCTCAGCCTGAGTGTCTTTCCTGCCCAAGGTCTCAGACATTTACACATGGTGGAACTCTTCATTTAGGGTTTCAAAATGATAGGAGCATGACTTTATCAGACCAAAACTGCAGAGATCTGGGCTTGCATTAAACACATTCTCTTTACACAGCAGGATGGTCCTACAGCAAGGAGGCAAGGGAGAGAATGTTTTAAAGGAAGTAGGAAACCTACTTTCTTTCTCACCCAGATCATTTACTACCTAATTGTTCCATGCTGTCATCTAGAATACAGTCTCTAGATCGTAAAATGAAGTTGGACAAAAGGATTTCTAAGGGCTCTTCCAACTCTAAGTTCCTTTTATACTGTATAACAAAGATATATTTATTGAATACTGGTTGTGTGCAATGTGGACTAGTGTCAGAGTGGGAGAAATTGCCTGCATCACGGAACCCCAATACCATTTTCACAATAGCATGTAATCTAATGGATCTGAGGTTGATCCTAACCCACCGTGAGGCCTCTTCAGAATAGAGACACAATTCTCAGGACGAGATCCTATTTGGGTTTTTGTTTCTTCTATGAGATCAATAATGTATCAAGGAGAACTAAAGCCAAATTAACATGGGAAAAAAATGGGACTTTATTCACTGAGTGGAAAGTCCTTCATAGGCAGTGAGACCAGGGGGCTCCATGGCTGAGCCATGGGTAAGCAGGATGGTCTTCTGGAGTCATATTTCTTCTATTTATCTATTACATATAATTGTATGTATTGTATGAAAAAAAGAAAAACAAATTAGGCAAGGTGGATGAACTTACTAATATGGAAAGTGGGAAGCACTTTCTAAAATAGTCTAATTGCTTGCTGGATTCTGACTTTCTCCTTAAAACTTCAGTTTGGAGGTTTAAAATTTCCAGCCATGGATACCTATACAATTTTTGAGATCATTTCAAAATGAAAATGTAGGATCTTTATTCAAAAAGCAGGGAAAATGTGTCACTAGGTAATGTTTCTAAGGGACCATTTTTCTAAAATGCTTTAACTCTTCATACATACTAGTTTCATGTCTCTCAATTTAATTTTTTAAAGACTCTTATTTTCAAACACTTCAACTAAGTTCAAAGATAATGAGGCAGACGTACTGAGGTATCCAGTGCATTTCCTGCCCCCATACAGGTACAACCTCTCCCATGTCAACTTCTCCAGGACACATTTTACAATGGACGGGCCTTCACTGCTTCATCCTATCACTCAAAGACCACAGTTTTTCTAGGGTTCACTTCAGCTGTTGTACATTCTGTGGGTGTGAACAAGTGTATAAGGAATGTATCCACCATTATACTATCATAGCTACTAGGCTCGCTACACTAAATATTCTCTGTGCTCTTCATCCCTGCTGCTCCCCTCAAACTTTGGCAACCACAATCTTTTTTTCCCTCCTAGTTTTCCTTTTTCCAGAATGTCATAGGATCAGAATCATACCCTATGTAGTCTTTTCAGAGGGGCTGTATTCACTTACTAAAATGCATATAAAGTTCCCCTATGGCTTCATAGCTCCTTTTTTTTTTTTAAACCAGCAAATCATATTCCAGTGTTTGGATGTACCACCATTTATTTATTCATTCACTTATTGAAAGACATGCAACTTACCTCAAGGTTTTGGCAATTATGAATAAAATTGCTATAAAGCACCTGTGTACAAGTTTGTGTGGACGTAACTCTTAAAACCCTTTGGGAAAATACTCAGGAAAGTCATTGCTGCATCAAACGCTAAGAGTATGTTTAGTCCCGTAAGAAACTGCCAAACTGCTTTCTTGAAATGTCCAGGTATACACTTTCAATCTGTAGTAATTTCCCTATAATATTTACTGTACCCTTTGATGCATGTCAAAGCCCCAGCTAGTCCAAAGCAGGCACAGACACCACAGGTGACCCTGCCAAATGCTCAGCTCACACACAGCCTGCTGTGACCCAGAATCTGAGCCTGCATGTGTTCCCACCTATGTCCTGCTGCCCACGTACCTCTCTGCTCAGGAACTTGTTCCTCCCACTTATTGGACTCACTTATAAAAGACAAGCATAAAGGTAAAACTAGTATTAATTTCAAGACAGTGAGGGCACAGCATCAAACCAAGGTCAGGGTTCCTTGGAAGAGTGAAGGGCTGTGTAACTTCACAGGTCCCATGCTTAAGAAACTGAGTTTCCTCCCTGCTTCAGGGAGTCTGCCCATTTACTTCCATCTGAATTTTCAGGGGCATAGGCCTTCCTATCAATGCCCTTTTCTCAACATAAAAGCCAGTGCAGGCTGGAATTCAGTTTGTACTGGAATCTTTACACATGTAAGTTTCGACTTTGTATTTGAGGTCTGGCTACAACAGAGACAGGGATCTTTTAGGGGAGTCCTGGAAGCTGTTTGCTTCCCTTCCCCAACTAGGAATGGTGTTACAAAATCACGAGTAATAGATTCATTTAAAATGCAAGGAAGAGCAATAGATTTTCATGGAACAGAATGAAAATTTCCATGAGCTCTTCTCCACAAGGTGCTATTTAGAATTACTCAAATAGATACTTTTGTCAGTGATGTATGTCAATACATTGTACAAATCGTTTGGATTTTATTATTCTGTAGGGTCTTCTATACCAGGTTCTCAGAGGATAAGCTCTAATGTCACCTCAAGTTCACTAATTTTGAAATAATATGATCTCAAAAATGTAACTTATGCTCTAGAATCCTCCCTTTATTCATGCATAAAAGTAAAGTACTTATTCACAGAGTATTATCTTACTGAAAAAGAAAATATATGTTATAAGTAGAGTGCCCAACCCTCAATAAAATTATTTTATTGTATTTGTGTTCCCAGGAGTAAAAAACTAAATACAGAGTTTAAAAAACATTGTGCATATTCTGTTTACATTTCTTTGAAAAAGAACCACCCACAGGTAACTAAAAAATTTAGTCATCTCTTTGTTTGCTGATGACCACTGAATTTTTTGAGCATTTTCCATTTGACTACTTACAGATAATTTATATGCTAGCTGCCAGGACATCTGTTTTCCCAGGGTACTGGATATGGGCATCTCTATCACTTGCTCCAATGACTCCATGGTAGAGGTTTTTACCTGCAAAGGGCTTTCTGGGAAGAAAAAGGGCAAGTAAGTGAAATGAAAGCCCTGATGGGTCTAATTTTAGGAGGGGGATAAAAGTGCCCTAACATAAATCTGAAAGTCTGAAAATGTGCAAAGCCTGCTCTGGGGGCAAATGCCTGCCCCAGGGAAGGGCGGGGGCTGCAGGCGCAGCTGCAGTTTGGGTGCAGGCTGCAGATCACAGGGGAACACTGTGCCTCCCCCGCACACAGGTAGGTGGCTGAGTCTTCCAGCTGGGAGGCCCCGATGTGGAGGGTGCTGGACCGTTCCTTAGTATTCACTGTGCAGTTTAACCTCCCACTCTGCTTCATCCCTGAAGCTATGTAAAACAGCCGGGTGAGACTGCCGCCCCCGGGGTTCTGTCGGAACCACTGCACATTGGTCACTGCATTAGAGAAACTGCACTTGAGCGTAGAGCTGGCTCCCTCCTGGAGGCTCAGGTCTGAAGGGCTCTGCTCCACCGTCATCCCTCTCACCCCTGTGTGGAAAGAGAGGAACAAACACAAGTGATGTCACTGGGGAGTCACTGGTGCTATTTTCAAACCTGTAAAATAAATATCCCAAGACACACCACTGAAAATGTAAGACCCTCTAGGAGCTCAGTGTCAGCCGCCTCCCCCCCACCAATGTGGGCTGTGCATTGCTCCCCAGCCCCATCTGGAACACCCTACTCACAGCAAACCTGGAGCCATAGGAGCCCCAGCAGAGCTTCCCAATGTCTCCTCATGATTTCTTGTCCAGTTGTTGAATTACTGATAATGCTACTGTGCTGGGTGTAGTCTTGGATTCAGAGAAATTGTGTTCTTACACTCAATCCTTTCCACCAGAATCACTGAGCACCAATCACACCTCAGCTCTGTCACTCACTCAAGACTCCACCCACAGTGGCCCAGTGACACTCATAACAATCTCTCCAAAATTATGATTTTTACAGTGCAGAGAGGTAGGGACAATATTTCTAATATAGGAAGATATAAGAGGTTTTTTTCTTAAACACTTATGTAAGAAATTTGTGGGTTAGTGTATGAGGAAAGGTGAATGATTCTTCTAGAAGAGTCAGTGTCTCAGTGGGTTGCACTGAAGATTGAGGAATCATGGGAAAGAGTGACTCCATTCCCCAAACTTCATAGTTTGACAAACAAGGTGAGAATTTGGTTATATAAAAATGCCAATAAGAGAAAACTATCAATCGCATGCATTGTGTATTGCAGAAGTAACTACAAATTCTTGAAATCAGGAGAGTTCTAGAAACCAAGACAGACAGTCACCATCTGCATAGAGTATTATTCCAACCAGAATTTGTTGGTGAAAAGTAAAATACCTGCATGATGTCCCTTCTGATTTAATTTCTACCTCTCCACCTCTCCTTTGCCATTAATTAGTGGACACTCTGTTTACATACACAGCTGAGTCTGGCCAGGCCATACATTGCTGGTCATGGGCAATATTGTCTTCTCCCTTTCTTTCTCTTATTTATTGTCCCTTATTTTTTCCTTTCTTCTCTTCATTCTTGTTCCCTCCATTCTCAGCAGAAATACATGAAAAGGTAGGGTATCTGAGGTATTGAAATAATTTCAGGGTCAGTAAGTTTAGGGGATTTTTATTGATATTGACAACAGGTAATGGGACGTTTTCTGTTGCATTTCCATGGTCACAATGCCCAGAAATAATCCTATCTTGTCACGTATGCTCCAAGAATTATCTGTATAATGGATTTCTAGAGACATGGCCTCCAGATGTGTGAAGCTGATATAGAATGGCAGAACTGAAAACCTGAGATGAACTTTACACAAACTCTGTCCATCCCTGCCTCCCCTGACTTTGCTATCTATATTGGACTGGCTTATATGATTTCTGTTCTCCCTTTAATGGCTCAATCCTGGACCGTCAGAAAGTCTTTGTTGGGTGTGGCGTAAACAATGAATTTTGGAGCACTGAAAAAAAAAAAAAGATTAAAAAAAAAAAGTCTTTGTTTCTGGTAAAGCCTAGAGTGCCCCCTAGAGGACTGAAACGGTCAGCAAAAACACTTAAGACACAGCAACTCCACAGAAATGGAGCTCTTTTCATTCCAAATTTCCTGATGAAGGAAATGGAGATGATCAGAAAAGAAAATAACTGCTTAGTTTGAATGGGGGATTACCAGTGAGCCAAATCCTACTTTTAAAATGGAATTGCATGGAAATTGATATCAGAAAATAATTTGGTAAATCTCATCTTGTGCTTTTATTTGATTTCTTTAACTTAGTTCCAAAGAAATCCACATTCATTGAGCTTTTTGTTTCACTGGAGTAATTTCCTAGATGTTCAGAATATCTAAACGTGTGATGGAATATTATTCAGCCACAAAAAAGAATGAAATCTTGCCATTTGTAATGACATGGATTAAGCTAGAGAGTATAACACTGAAGGAATAAGTAAGTCAGAGAAAACAAATACCATATGATTTCACTCATGTGGAATTTAAGAAACAAACCAGACAGGCAAAGGAAAAATATATAATAGAGAGCGATAAATCAAGAAACAGACTCTTAATTAAAGAGAAGAAACTGATGGTTATCAGAGGGAGAGGACTGGGGGATCGGTTCCATAGGTGAGGGAGTGAAGGCATGCCCTTGTCATGATGAGTATCAGGTGTTCTGTGGAAGTTTTGAATCATTATATTGTACAGATGAAACTGATATAACATTGTACCTTAAGTAACCGAAAATGAAATAAAAATAAATAAAATATATAAAATTAGAAAACGTACTAGTTTACAGTCTGCGGGGAAAGACAAAAATATACATAATTATAGAGTCAAAGGGTAGGACCATAAGAGGAGGAAACTAAAAACTACCTGATCTGAGAGGAGGGACAAATACATTTTCATTAGGTCCTTGGACAAAATCTTGCGAAAATCTCCCTTCCCCTTTTTGGCCTCAAGGATAGAAGAGAATATGGATAAGCCTTTATGATGGCTTTTATGATTTATATTACTTTTAATAATAGGAGGAACTTGTGCATATATGAATTATTAAAAGTAATAAAACATTACCTATAGACTAAAATCCCTTTTGACTACCACTTCCAATTCTGACCCTTAGATCACTGATTACCGTAATACTTTCTTCATCTTTACAATTTGGAGTTGATGCTTCCAGATGTTTACTAGATTTGAATCAACAGAAAATATATAGTATTTTATTTAGACTTTATTATAATGTAAGCATACATTTAAGGTATGCCATTCTATAACTTGTTTTATAAACTCAGTAGTAAATCTTGTAGGTCTTATTATATTAACCCATATATATCCTTTGTTCCATTATATTCTATATAGTGTACATATTTTTATACATCCTTTTCTCTATTGATTAAAGGCTACAATGATTTACTTAATCTAGGAAATACTACACTACAATAAAGCTTATTATGCATTCCTCACATGAGCACATGTTTTCTTAGGAACAGAGACGAGGAAGAAATGAAGGAATAAGCCCTGAGGCTGGCAGGTGAAAATTACTCCAGGTAGAGGAAATTCAGGGACAAAGGGCTTGAAGAAGAATGAAGAGAATTCATGTTCTGATTATTGTGTTGGAAGATTTTCATTTTCTATTTTTTTCTTAGTGTGCATTAAAACTGGAGTTTATCAGCTCATTCGATAGACTCTTTCTGAAATTCTGTCCTGATACAGAGATAGTGTATAGTTTGCTCTAACCAGTCACTGAGGTTTTCCAAAAATAGTAAATCAGCAAGAGAAAAAGCACACCCAAGGAGAAGCAGTGGTATGTATATACAAGGAAAAAATATTACAGAACAAAATTAAACATAGAAAAAATGTAAACACCTGCACACACACCCCCACACACGATTTGAGAATATTGTCAATAATATGGAAGCGCATTTTGCTTTTTTCAAATCAGCATAGAAAAAGTGAAAATTCTGTCAATGCAACAGAAGGGAAAAGAAAGAAGCAAAAGCATATGGAACAAAACCAAAATATTAGAAACAAGTTCAAATATTCAGTAATCAGAACATAGATTAAAAAGAAATTATTCCTCATAGAAGAGAGATCGTATGATAATTGTGAATCAGAAATTTTTAAAGATTTTATTTATTTATTTGACAGATAGAGAGAGCACAAGTAGGCAGAGTGGCAGGCAGAGGGAGAAGCAGGCTCCCACTGAGCAGGGAGCCTGATGGCGGGGCTTGATCCAAGGAACCCGGGATCACAACCTGAGCCGAAGGCAGCTGCTTAACTGACTGAGCGACCCAGGTGCCCCGAATTGAATCAAAATTTAAAACTGTTTCTCCATATTGCTTAAGAAAAAAACCTGAGAGCAAACAACCAACAAACGTGAGCAGATAGGATGATATTTTCCTGCTGTCCCAGCGTACAAATTCTAAAGTCCCCTCCTCATCTACTAAACCCACTACACCCAAAGAAAGAAGCCAAAGAACTGTCAGTTCTTCCCAAGAGACAGTCAAAAGGCACCTAAGAGAAGACCTAGCTAGCAAACTAATTAATCCTTACAAAGGGAAGATCAAAGAAAAAACACACAAAGGCTAAAAAACCAAACGAAACTAAAAAAGTCAGCATAAAAAGGAAAACAATCAACAGCATCAAAAGTCATCCTACAAAATAAATAAAATCTTTAAAAAAAAAAGTCATCCTACAGAGTTGGAGAAAATATTTGTAAACTACATACATGATAAGGGTTTAATATCCAAATAATATAATAACTCCTACAATAATAGTTTTTAAGAAAACTAGTAAGCCAATTAAAAATGGTCTAAGGACTAGAATAGATGTTTCTTTAAAGAAGACATTTAATAGCCAACAAGTGTGTGAGCGAACACCCAATGTCACTGATTGTCAGGAAAATGCAATCAAAGCCCTAGTGAAATATCACCTCCCACAGTCATGCAATTATGTAAAAAAGGACCACTCAGTTTGGTACTTCAGTATTTAAAATGGTATTAGCCACAACTTAACCATGGGATAAAAAAATATACAGAAGTAGTGTATTACCCAGCCTTAAGAGGAAAAAGAAAAAGGAAATCTGACAATATGAAGTCATATGGATGAATCTTGAGGACATTATGATAACTGAAATAAGCCAGTCACAGTAAAACAAATAATGGATGATTTCACCTAAATGTGGTATCAGTGATCGTCAAATTCATAGAATGAAAGAGTGAATAAAAACTTGGTTGCCATGAGCTCTGGCTATTGGGTAGCGGAGAATTACTAATCCAGCATATGAAAGAATACAGAGTTGCTGTACAACATTGTACCCATATCGACAATCATGTATTGTATACCTAAATTTTAAGAGGCTAAATCTCATGGTAAGTGTTCTTTACACGATACAAATTAAATTAAAAAAAAAAAAAATAAGAAACCACAGGTATCACCTGTTAGAATGGTCAAAATACAAAACACTAACATCACCAAATGCTGGTGTCAAAAATTCAGAAATAGCCTAGGTCAATCCAATGAATTATACCAAGGCGTTAATTAGTAAAAGTGTCATGCACACACCAAAAAGATAGTTCATGAACTGGGAACACTCAAACCAAAACATGGAATGAGGCTCAGGAGTATATTGTTAGAAAACAATTTGTATAGTGAGAACCCCAGGAGTCTATTTGCTTCCTGGTGATTACTTATCAGAGTTGCTGTAAACCATATCTGAAATTGGTCAGTGGGTACCTCACGTCAAACTTGGGAAACAGTTCAAGTTT